GAAGCCTGTTTGGATATATCTTTAATCTAGAATTGTTTTCCCCATCTCTTCCTTTCCTCCTATTTGAAAAATCAGAAAGCCTGGAGAATCTAATGAAAAGGAATTTATCTTTATTTAGTTCTCCCAAATTATATTTATAAGATACATTAAATTAACCAAAGAATGTAAATGTTTTGTTCCACTAGCTCAGATTTTCATGGTTCCTCCCTAGATAATCCAAATTTGATTTCTTTCGCCTATCCTTGGAGAAAGAGAGCATGTTTTGCTTATTTAATTGTTTTTACCTATTTCATATACCTCCACTGTATTTGACAAATAATTTGCCCCCAAAATAAATGTTGATTAGTAGTTTAGTGTAGATTTTACTAAAGGAGTATTTTTTTCATCAGTTGCTCTCTGAATTATTGCTAATTAGTACTAAGGCTGCTGCCCTCTGGTGTTGGGAGTTAATAGAGAAAATGATTAATGCTGGTGGAAAGAATAGACTGGTAGTGTATCTAATCCTGCATGGGATATTTTACACCAGATAATTTAACAAGCCCTGTATCTTACCAAACAAAACTGTGAAATGGTCATATGAAATGCCCAGAAGAGTATGAAGATTATAATGTAAATGAAAAATACTGTGCTTCTCAGATGAAATGGTATCTTAGCTTTCAGCTCACCAGACCTACCTTGTTAGAAAATCTCTTCAATCCACTGTAAGTAGTGGATTTGTTTTGTGGTTTTTGCTTCAGAATTTTCTCATGTCATTTTCCCTCTGAGATATTTCATAATTTATGCAGGTAAAAATTAGAAAGAAACCTAAATGCCCACTAGTAGGGGAAAGGATAAATAAACTGGTCCACTGCGGCAGTTGAAAAGAATAGCATAGATCCACATGTGTTGAGAGGACCTCTAAGATGTATTGAGTGGAATAAACAAGTTACAGAGCATCACATACAACTTGATGTCATATGAATAAAATAAAAAGATAAAGCAAAACTATGATTCTATGAGTATGTAGATGTAGGTAAAGGTCTAGAAGGGTACATCACAAACAATACTGGCTCTCCTGAAAGAGGGGCCTAAGAATGAGTATAATAGTTAAAGATCTCTGTAGCTTTATTTGTATTATTAGTATATTTTTAAAACAAAAGTGTATTGGTGTACTTTATAATTAATAATTAAAAATAAAATTTTAAATATAAACAACAATTAAAGGGTCTACTATCTTGACACTGGTTTCTAAGAGCAATAGGAGTTCAAAGTCAGGAAGACTTTATTAGGTAAGAAGTAGAATTTGAGCTGGACCTTGAAGGTTAAGTAAGAAGGAAACAGATGATGGATATGGGGGTAGAAAACTTAAGGTGGGAGACATAGAATAATAAAATGGAATAATAAAATGGATCAGGGAAATGAAACTGAACCGGAGGCATGCAAGAACAATGAAGAGATTTTTTTTTAATTGAGGTAGAGTTAATTTACAACATTACATTAGTTTCAAGTGTACAACATAGTGACTGAAAAATTTTATAGATTATACTCCATTTAAAGTTATTATAAAACATTGGCTATATTCTCTGTGCTGTACAATATATCCTTTTGGCTTATTTATTTTACACGTAGTAGTTTGTACCTCTTAGTCCCTTACCCCTCTTTGTCACTCACCACTTCTCTCTCCCCATTGGTAACCACTAGTTTATTCTCTATATCTTATGGACCTACAATATGGAAAAAAAAAAACCCAAAAAACTCCACACAGTATTATATAAGAAGACACTTTCTTTTCTTCATTTCAGCCATATAAAATTGCAGCAATCCATAAGATTAGAACCTAAAGGAAAATTTTTGGTATACTGGTAAAATTTGAAAATAATGCATGGCTTTAATTCTGTATTCTTTAGTTTACTGATTCATACTAAACAAACAGCTTTATTCCTGATGAAGTATAAAACATGTTGTTTAGTCACTAAAATCTCCTTAGATTTTCTGCAGCATTACTTTTTTTAGGGTACTAAAATTATTAGGATTCTAAAATATACTAGTTAAGAGCAAATTTAGTTCAGGTTGGATACATTTACTTTCTAAATAATAAGTTTTCATTTTACATAGTAGATCAATAAGTATATTTCTAAAAAGCATGTAAATCAACTTTCCTACTGACTTACAATTTTAGAGGTGCTTTTTTTTTTTTAACAGTTGAACAATTTTTTTTTTGCTGATAAAGCTTTTCCTACTCTCAAGTAATGAGTGAATTGTAAATAAAGGCACACATTTAGAAAGCAAACAATAATTTGTATTTGCAAAAGCTCCAATATATGTTTTACAGATTCAGATCTTATTAATAGCTTTGTGTGGGTAGGAAAAAGGAGCAGTTTGTGAAGCAAAAAGTATTCATGTAGATACACAAGTAGTGGTTTTTCTCAGCTGTCATGGATATCTGTAATGTTTACCATAAAATAAGTAATACATACATAAAATAGCCAAACAGTACTGAGACTGGACAATAAAGATAAGTCCTTTTCTTCCTCATAGTTTGCCCCTGATTTCCCCATCAGAGGTAATCACTACTTTTAGTCTCTTATATTTGTATGGAGCATTTCTGGAGTGATATATAAGTATACATATACCTCTTTTTATGCAAGTTTAAACACTTCATAAGCTCTTCTGCTTTGCTTTCCTTTTCATTTAATCTGAGTTCCTTGTGAAAACAGTATTTTTAAAATAATTTTGGAATTCTTTAGAATCTTCATATATTATGGTTTATAAAAAAACATGGTTATTTGAAGATTTTTAACAACAAAATTTCATTATCTGAATGGAAAATATATGATGACCATGGCTACATAGATAGCCGTTAATTATATTTTTAAATGTTTATGACATCAACATCTAATTTAATGTCTATCTATAAAATTGTATAGGAATCTGAGCTTCAAGTAGGTTTTAAATGCCTGTCGCTATCACTTAGCTCTTTTTACCATAAAAATTTGCTTATGTCTAATGCATCATGATTCTTTATCCATTTTAATTTTTATCCAATTTACAAGCTTTTTCAGAACCAGGAATTAGATTACTACTGGTTGTGATGTATAACAGAGAATAGAATTTTTAGGCTCTACTCTAGTAGCTGTGCAATTAAATATTAGGAGTGTACTCAGTAACCTAATAAAATTCATGTATGGTGGATCATTTTTATATTTATATAGCTGTAATAAAAAGGGATATCTTCTGCTTTGTAGCTGGAGTTATAATTATTAGAAGCATTAATAACCTTCCCTACATAATTATTTTGTTTGTAGTGAGATGGTATGGACTTTAGAGCCAGACCAACATGGATTCAAATCCTATCTAGACCTCCAGTATTAGCTCAGTGTTACTAGGTTCTCTCTCTAAATCTTAATCTCTTCATCAATACATTGATTATAATACTACTACCAGTAAGATACTGCAGTGAACGTTCTTGTATGAATGAATCTTGTTTATGTGAATATATTGCTGTGGTCAGAGGAATCTATGGGCCAAAAGGCATATTTAAAATATGTTTAAATTTTGATAGTTGCTGGAAAATCACTCTAAAAAGGCTATCCCAGTTTCATTGTCACTAATGAATGACACAGCTTTGTGCCCTCTATAATACTGAAATTTTTGTCTTTTCAGTTTTTGTTGTTCTTATACCTGTTTTTAAATGTTAACCCTCTTCAAGTCTTTTGACCTCTGTATCAAATCTGTTGTTATCTTAGACATTGGAATAATATATAGTAGCACAGATAATCTTATTGTTTAGATTTTTCTCTTAATAGCTATTCATATTTCAATGTAGGCTCTTTGTGCCATTTATGAAATGGAAACTCCTTGAGTCAGTTATGTGTGTGTGTGTATATATATATATATATATTTTTTTTAAACATCCATTTATTTTAAGCAGATTACAATTTCAGTTAATCAAAATTTCCATGCCTTCTCATTAGTCTGTAGCACATACTCTGGTTGCTTTAATTTCTACTGTCATCAGAAAAGCTTTTTTGTTTAAATTATATATTAATATGTTTTTATTTCTTTACAAGTACAAATGTGCTCTAATATTTAGCATCTTTCAGGTGCCTTTTTTATCATTCTGAATATTCATTATCATTGTATAGACCAGATGTAGACCATCTAAGCAGTTAGTATGGACTAAATCCATACTATGTATAGTATGTAAGAGAGAAGTTATGGTTCACCTTATTTTCTTATTATTTGACTCTTTCTCCTAAAAAGAAGATATTAGAAAACTCCATGTAAGTTTTTTTCTTATTATAAATGCATTTCTATTTGAAACATTCTACTCATTTGTGAAGCCCTGTTTTCAGTCATAGGCATCCTTGAGCTTTATGAAAATACATTTAAGTATGTGCTAATGAAATACAGAGTCCTAAAATAAAAATGTTGGCGTGGTCCTGCTTCATGAGCCACGTTTGGACTGAATTTTCATTCTCATTCTTAACCAAGTCCACATTTAACACTTAAGACTTCTTTATAGTCAACTTTTACTATAGATAAATTGAACAGTTTTCTGTGACTTTAAAGAGCAGTAAGCCTTATCTGGTCATTTTCAATTGCAGATGTTTAGGAATTATTTGGTAGACATGTTGTGATGGCATTTATCCAGTAGCTTTCATGTTTCTTTTAAAACTTAATATGGACTTTAATTGATTCATTTTTGGCTGAGAGGTTTATTTCGGATCCATAGCTCTTAAGTTTTTCAATTTGTTAAAAAAAAATTTTGACCATGTTATTTAAAAAGTATGACAATTAGAGATATGTAAACCACCCTCAGTAGGATCTGGCCTCTTTGGGGACTCAGTAAATGGCAGGTACTGTTTTATTGTACATACTAATATTTAGTAGCACTATGGAACTTACAGTGAATGGAGAACCTTGTAATGTATGAATAATATTTGTTGGCTCCAGAAGGGCTTCATACTAGGACTCTACTTGTGATCCTGATTAAGTGTTAATACTTTTTTTTTTTACAGAATCCCAAAACAAAAGAACAAATTGAAAATCTGTTACGGAATGGGATGAACAAGGAGCTGCGAGATCGTCTTTGTTGCCGAATGACTTTTGGGACTGCAGGACTTCGTTCTGCAATGGGGGCAGGATTTTGCTATATTAATGACCTTACAGTAATACAGTCAACACAGGTTAGTATTTTAAAGTATGATATGTGTACTTCTTATCACTCTAATTTTTCTGCTTTATAAATTAGACCTTTTCTTTAAAAAAAAAACCACTTTGATATCCAGGAAGGTACTTTCTTATAAATTAAAAATGTAGAATAAATTTGGACCTTTGGTCTTGTACAAGGCTTATCTTAGGAGTCATTTATGTATCCTCAAGGACGCAGGCTAACTTTCTGATTGAGTTATTTCCATTGCCATAGTCAACATCTTGACAGTATTACTTTGCATTTGAAACCAGCAAATGGATATTGACATTTACTACAAAGAAGCAAACTTAGAAAGAAGCTGATTACTCATTTTGACATATGGCTATTGATAAAGGTTAACCAGAGTATTTGGGAAATTTAGTTGAAAATGTTTCCCTTTAACACGGTTTTCCATATCATTTGAGAGTTAAGACAGTGTATGATACAGTTTGTTTTATTTCTCCCCATTTTTATGCAACTTACTCTAGAAACAAATTACTTCTCTTACCAGTGAATCATCCTTACTGTTTCACAAGGGACTCCACTTTAGAGGCCAAGATGCATTTAGTGTGTACTAAAAATAGTTCTGGACTAGAGAATTACTTAGTAGGTATAGTTCTAATCAATACTGCCAAACAGTAAATCATCTTTAACCTTGTTCTGAGGAAATTCTCCAAAGCCAAGAGCTAATGCAGGGAATGGGGAAGAAAGGATGACAAGTGACTGAATAGGTAGGATTCTTGCCACCTCCTGCCCCCACCCCCTTTCTTTCCCTGGTCCAGAAGTGCTTCAGTTCAATTTTTTTTATACATTGGGTTTCTCTATAAGCTTTCTTGTTAACTGAAGATTCCTTGACTTTACAAAAAGGGGTAGAGAATGTGTTTGAAAATCAATTTCTATAAAAGTGCACATTTTTAGAGGAGTTGAGATTCCATTGTGTGAAGTGGAAAAGCCAGATGGAATCTGATTCTTAAACCCTAGCCCTTTTCAGAATCTAGGTATAGAGGGATAAGACAAGATGGAGTTTTACACCAGAGAATAATATGAGATTCTGTGAGATTTTAGGATACTGTCATCATTAGAAATATAAATAAGTTAGTGAAACTAGCCAATTTAAACTATAGTAAGCACACACACACTTACTCACTCTCTCTCTCATAGGGAATAGGTTGATAAGAATAATTACACTTGGAAGAGCCAGGAAAGAATGGTCCAGAAGTCACTAGGGCCTCATTTGGTGTTGCCACATAGTTACTTAGCTGTGCATACCATATAGTAGGTCTTCAACAAATCAGTATAACTCAGTGTTAGTTGAATGAATGAATGAGTTGGGACAAGTCATTAAATAGAGCTTCAATCTTACTTTGTCCCCTCTTTTTTGGAAAAGATGTCGAAAGACAGAGACAAAAATTGAACTATGCATTTTTTTCTTTTGGGGGCTGTTATGAGGATTAAATATGGCAGCAAAGTAGTTTTTAAAAGGACTATAATAATACTAAGTGTATTTTTATAGATGAAAGTGGTAAAGTTAGCAAATCACAAGATAGTTAAATGCTTTTAGCTGATTGCTTTGGTATTTTCAGTATTAAATAGTTCATTTCATTTTTTTGGTCACCTTTGACTACAAATTTTCCTTGTTTATGAGATTTTCTTTCTGTGAGATTTTAAAACAAAGGAATAGAATCAGCCACGCTTAGAAATGTTCTAGTGAAGGTTTATGTTGCTAATTTAAAATGTTTATGTCATAAACAGGTCAAATCTTTTAGTTAGCTTCAATCATATGATTTAGTGAGGTATAAAATTGTCAAAATTTTGTTTTCTAGAGCCTTAAGGCAAGAAACAATTTGGGGGGGGGGGCTCTTCTAACATACTGATTCTTAAGACCCATCTTTTTTTCCTAATGTTTTATGCATCATATTGAATTTAACAGTTACTTCATTGTTATTTCTGTGGTATTAAATGGATCTGAAACTCCAGGAAATAGATGTTCACCATCTCACATTTGAAGATTGAACATTATTGTTCCCACGTTGGTAAACATGAACAAAAAGAGGAAGCCAGTTCCTTGGGAGCCAATAAGCTGCACACAACCCACAAAAAGAATAAACTTTAAGTCGTAGAAAAAGCAGGCATTAGTCAGGAACTAATCTTTTGTGTTTGTCTGCTTCAGGGGATGTACAAGTACCTTGAGAGATGTTTCTCAGACTTCAAGCAGAGAGGTTTTGTCGTTGGGTATGACACCCGGGGTCAAGTAACTAGCAGCTGCAGCAGCCAGAGGTACAGTGTTCATTGTTTCAGAGATTAAGCTGGATTGTCATAAAACCTTAAAAAAAATTGTATGCCCAGTAATAGGATTTCTGAAACAGGAAACCATCAAACAGAAGTGTGATCACATGCTAATGTTTATTTTAAGGCTGAAATAGAAGCATTTCAGAGATAACCTTTGGTTTTTAAAACAGAAAGGAGTAAAATTTTTAAATTTTAGTGTTAGTATTTAGAATGACATCATAGCTTATGTTATGATTTTAATATTTTGGCAAAGGCACTGAGTAAGACTAATTATATAGCTTATATTCTCTCATTATAGATTCATTTGATTAGTTTTAGAGTATTTTCACACACAGATAATCATGACATAGTGATACTTTTTTTCAGGAGGTAATTATGCATATTGTGTTTATTGAAGTCTCTTATTTCACTTGCCTCCAGTCTTTTTGCCTTTTGCAGGTTTTATTTCTTACTAAAAGAGCCATCAAAAGATGAATGAGGAGTGTGCCAACTGTCCTCCTGCAACCACAGTCTCATTCAGATCCACATTCTATAACAGACTCTGCTCCCCTGACACACACCCTTCTCCACCTCCCCTGACCCTGCCTTGCCTTCACAGCCAAACCTTCTGCAAGAAAGATCTCCTTCAACAAGCTCTACACTCCATCTTTTATTTACTCATTTTAAAAATATATGTTTCTTCAAAAATTGAAAAAAAAGATGAATGAGGAAAAAGGAAAAAATTAAAATGTCAATTCTGTTCATTGTTAAGCTCCTTTTTTTAAAAAAAAAAAAAAAGCTTATTTCTTTAACATTTTGAAGTTGAAACCTGAAGCTTAAAAAACTAGTAATTGTAAGAACTGGTTGTAGTAGGCTTCTATATATTCATAATAATTGTAATATGAAATGTTTGTTTTCTGGAAGATTGGTTTTTAAAAAGTATGGTAAGCTAAGGACTAAGTGAATCCTCTATCTTTTTTTTAGGCTTGCTAAACTCACGGCTGCAGTCTTACTGGCCAAAGATATTCCTGTGTACCTTTTTTCAAGATATGTTCCTACACCTTTTGTAGTAAGTGTGTTGTGTTATTGACCATACAGATTGCTGCTCTTGAAAAGATTTCTTAAATCAGCCAGGATTCAAATCTTTGTCATGCATACAGTTCTGTATTAAGTGATAACAAAGGACATAAAGAAAACGAATTTTGCTCTGAATTTATTTTCATTCAAAAAGCATGCATTGAGCCACTTAAGAATTTGATCTATAAAAAGTTGACAAGTCCACAGTCATGGTGGGATATTTTAATATTCTTCTTTCAGAAAGTGATTTATCAGGCAAGCAAAAATTATTAAGGATAAATGACCACACTGTTAGCATGCTTGATCTGGGTGTGTGTGTGTGTGTAAGTGTGTAAACCCTGTATTCAGTGATGTTAGGATATTCATTCTTATCAAGCAGGGTCACAAAGGAAATCTCGTCAAATACCAGAGAATTGCTTATCAAGCCATAAACCTGAATACCAATACAGTAAGATTCAAAATAAACCCACAAAACCCAGTGTGTTTGGAATTTTAAAAACACATTATAAATAATTTATGACAAGGAAGATATCATCATGAGAATCAGAAACTACAGGCATCCTTGCTTTGCATGATTATCTGTAAAGATAACCATGTAAGCTAAAACCATGCAAAGCAATCTTAATAATCAACAAGAAAAATTACAATTGTTCTGTGACCTTTAAAAACTTTTTTCCAAAACCTTAAATACACCCTTACTCTTGGTTTAAAATGTACGAAGAATAAATACTAGAACTAATGTTTGTTTGGTTACTGTAATGTAAAACACTAGAAACACTGAGAAATAAAGTATTTTATTTCTTTGTCAAAAATTTATCAAGAATGACCAGTGCTTCTTGTCATAAAACTTAACAATATGAATGAACATCTTTTCTATGTCTTGGTGAATTATCACATTCCTTTCTAAGTCGGGATCAGGTTTCTACATTTTATCTTTTGTATTTTTACTGTTGTGAAATATATTCCTTTTTTGCCAGTATCACTTCCTCTGAGACATCTTCCTCCTCTTTATCACAACCACATACCTCATTTGTATCCATATGTTCACCTTTGCTAAGCTTGTCTGGTTGCATATCTAAAGTCTCTTGAATGACAGCAGTGTCAACATTCCCAGTTTTTTTTTTCTGTATCTCTATTTTTGCAAACTCTCACATGGATTTATCACTGGGAGATAAGGAGACAACACAACTACATGCTTTGCTGTCTGTGAGAGCTGACTAACAAGATAGATGCATAGTGATGGATCACTGACAGACTTCAAAAGAGTGACATGATTTGACACTGATCACAATGGATTTCTTATATACATAGTTATTTTGGACCGAAGAGCTAGCAGCCAAGCTTATACTTGATGCAGTTACAGTTAGTGTAGCGTGGTAACTGAAATCTGAATATGTTGGGAGACTGGCATTGTTTGACTAAAATATAGTATTATGTATTTCAGAACTTTGCAAAGCAACTGCCTTTATTTAAAAACTGAGCAACATTGAAAACAATAGCAAAAATTATGGGATGTAACTAAAGCCCTACTTAAGGAAGTCACTTATTAATAGTCTTAAGGAATATATTAGGGGAAAAAGATTTAAAATAATGAGCTAAGACTTTAACTTAGTATGTTAGAAGTGAAAGAAAATAAATACAAAAAAGTAAAAGAAAGGAAATAATAAAGATATGAAGAAAATAAATAGGAAATAAAGAAAAAAAGATTATCAACAAAACAAAAGTTGGCTGTCTGAAGAGAAATAATAAAATGGACAACTCTGGCAAGGGTGCTCAAGAAAAAAGAGAAAAGATAAAGAATTAAAAGAGTACATAATAAACACAGTAGAGATTAAGAAAACTACAATATTCTAAACAACATAATGCAGATAAATGTGAAGCTTAGGAGAACTGGTTCATTTTCTAGAATAATTGATATATCAAAACTGAAAAAAAATTGAACTGATTTTTTTTTGAATCTTCTCAAAATAAAAATGTCAGGTCCGGATGATTATGTGGGCAAGTTTTACCAAATGTTTGAGAATTAAATAATGTCTCTCTAAATTGTTACTAGTGATTTATTGGAAATAAAGCTAAGTGGCTTTAGAATTTTAAAAAATTGAAGGAATTGTTAAACATTTAGCCCTAATGAATGGTGGAAACCAGAGAGGGCCCAGAAATGTAGAAGATTCCTATAATATTCTGCCACTGCTTACCAGTTCCACTGTAACTGTGTGTTGGCCTTCCTCTCTTACTGTGGTAGATTTGCTCTAACTGCTAAAGAAGTTATTTTTAGCAGTCCCAAATTCATACCCTTTATCACCATGACTTTGAGTCAAAAGGCTATCTTCCTTGACTATCTGCAGCAGAAACATCTTGGAAAAGAACTCTGACCAGATCTGGGTTATGAGGCAGTCTCTGAGTTAAATCATCAAGGGAATAGGTTATTCTGGTCAGCCCGGGGTCATGTGTCCACTCCAACGCCCCCCCCCCCAACCATGGCCAGAAGAGAAGTTGGATATGATGGTAGAAGGAGTAGGGGGAACATCCTAGACAGACAGATAATAACTACAAATAAAAAGGGAAATTCAACCTGGGAATTAACTTTGGGAGAGAAGATGGTAATTTGACCTTTATATGATATAAGACCACAGAGTGGTTCAAAGTGGAATGCAAGAGGTCTATGTTCTACCCTTGTATCTTCTCCTTTATGATTGCCTAATGCGGATAAACATACAGTGTGTAAAATGTGGTGGATTAGATGATTTCTAAATTTACTCCCAGCTCTAGTATTTTATGATTCTGTTCCCTTCTTACATCTCCAGAGTCTGGTGGAGTGTCTGGCATATAGTAGGTGTTAACTATTTGTTAAATGAACAAAATAATTATAGGACTAAGTTAAATGAAAGTGGGGAGAAAAAAAGCCATTTAGTCTAACAGGTAAGTGGTTACTGATGACCTAACAGTTAGATGGCTTTATACCCAGTGAGCCTGGGCTTGATTATTGAGGTTTTAGGCCATTTATATCTTAATATCTTTTCCAATTATTCAGTCAATGTTATTCTTATGTCAAATTTATGAGTAGCTAGGAAACAAAATGGAATGACAGTGTTTGTTTGTTTGTTTGTTTGTTTGTTTCAGCCATATGCAGTCCAGGAGCTCAAAGCAGTTGCAGGTGTAATGATTACTGCATCTCACAACCGCAAAGAAGACAATGGATACAAGGTAAACTTGGACTCCTGATCTTTGCTTATTTCATAGTTCTTATTTTATTTAAATACTATGTGCTGAATATATTTTTTATAGTGGGGAGCAGAGTTAGACATTGGGGACAGAAAGATAGAAACATGTATGCCTAATGGCCCTTACTTATTACTTCTCAATATGTACTCTTACGAAGTCTCTTCAGTGGTCTTTTTACTTCTGGTGTCTTACTACTTTTGATTTCCCGATCCCATCTCAAATCCATCCTCTCTACCAGTTTAGAAATAAAGTCATTTTGTACCAAGAACTTGAAGAACGAATGGGAGTTTGCAGGAAGAGAGCCATAAGAATGGTACCTTGACCTCACTCTCCTCTCCCTCCAACCTTCTGCTGGGACTCCCTATTGGCCATGGGACCTGTTTGATGTGTCAGGCTTCATGGCAGAAACAGGGTGGAGAAGGGTAAAGAGTGGGTCTGGAGGGGCGGACAGATGATACGACACAATGTTGAGTATTGTTTGGGACTCCTGGGTGATGAGTCTGTGATCTTATATTCTTTTTTCATCTTGGGTAGAAGGACTCCAGGCACACAGAGCTCTGCTTTACTGGGGAAAAGAAGATTTAATACTAATCTAAGATTTTGGCCCTGGCCAGCTAAGTGGGTAGTATTACCAGTTACAGAGGCAAGGAGTACTTTTGGTGTTACTTTGGACCTCAGATTTGAAATTTTTTAATCACCCAGAACTTAAAAAGAAACATACATGCTTCCTCATCATCTTTCAATGACAGTGGGCAGAACTTTTTCTATTCTATATTTCCTCTAAGAGGGGCATCTCAGTTCCAATTTCCTAACTTCCACATGGGCATTACCACTCAAGAACCAGATAAATGAACAATTCCCAAACCCCAGGCAGCCAAGGCATCAGCCCACAGCCTTATCACTCTGGTTTTCCATTCTTTCCTTTTTTTCTCCACTGCCTGGAGTTTTCCCTTTTGAAGGAAGGGGAAAGAAGGTTGTGGACTAAGCTATGCATTTTAGATAATATTTTTCTTACTTTATCTAGCATTTTGAGGTATTGATAGAGTGAGAATTTTTAGGTCATCTTGTCTCCCATATTGCTTGGCACAGAGCTTAGGACATAGTATATACTCAAATGTATTCTTTCCTTCATTCAAGATGCAGTAGAGGGGATCCATGTCAAATACATGGGAGAAGTCAGTATAGATACTCTCTAAGCTGAGTCCCTTTTAACTTTCAGAGCCTGTGAAGTATAGAAATACACTTTCTTGCTTTTTTGGTTAACTGTGCCTAATGTCTTGTTGATCAGGCTACTTGACAAACTGACAACTTAATGAAATGTATTTTCATTAAATACTGTAAGTACATATACTGAAATGTATGTGAATAACTAGCATGTTAATTGTCTTTCCTGATACAAACTTTAGTGTGACATAAATTCTACTTTAATTTATAACTGAAAAATAATTTGTTGTCATATAACAGAACCACTGTATAATGCTAAAATTTCATAGTATCAAGTTTTATGGATAGTCCATGGCTTCTTAGATTATCTTTAATATATAGTTATAGATCTAAGATTATGATTGGACACTAAAGTATATGCATATTGTAATGTCATAGTGATGCCCTTATATTTTATTTGTACTGTTATTAAAGCATACTTCTAAAAGAGAAAATAATACATGATCATTTTATTGAGAAATCCCTGTGGAATCATTGCCATCAATATCCTTGGGTATTAAATTAATCCAATGTTGACATTTTCTGCTTGATTAATTTGATATTTTTTTTAAAAGTCAGATCTCTCTACTGTAGCTAATAAACCATATGGCCAACATTTCAAGTAATTATAGCTGTGTTTACCCATCATCTAGGTTTATTGGGAAAATGGTGCTCAGATCACATCTCCTCATGATAAAGAAATTCTGAAATGTATAGAAGAGTGTGTGGAACCCTGGAATGGTTCCTGGAATGATAATTTAGTGAATACCAGCCCACTGAAGAGAGATCCTCTGCAGGACATTTGTAGAAGATACATGGAAGATCTGCAAAAGATCTGTTTTCACAGGTATTCAAGTGGGAATATAGGATAATATTTCCTTAGAATAAGATTAACAAATAAGGGAAAGAAATACAGATAAAAATGTGTTGGCTACTTATTATATTAAAATTATAGCCAAGTAGTACTATTCATAATAGTCAAAAAGTAGAAATAACCCAAATATCCATTAACTAAGTATGTAGTATATCCATACAATGAAATATTCAGCAATAAAAAGAAATGAAATACTGTTGCATACTACAACATGGATAAACTTTAAAAACATGCTGCGTGAAGGAAGCCAGTCTCACAAAGGACCACATAGTGTATGGTTCCATGATGTGAAACATTCAGAGTAGGCAAATCTGTAGAGATAGAAACAAAAAGTATACTAGTATTTGCCCATGGCTGGAAGAAATGGGAAGGTTATAGTGTGGCAGCTGTGGGGTATGGGGTTTCTTTTGGGGGTAATGGAAATGTTCTAAAATTGATTATGATAATGGTTGAACAACTCTGTGAATATAATGCAAGCCATTGAATTGTATATTTTAAATGGATCAATTGTATAGTATATTAATTACCTCTCAATAAAGCTGTTAAAAATTATAGCTGAATATATGTATTCACTCTATATAAGATCAGGAAATTTCCTGTAAAACTTGATTTTTCCTTCCCTATTTTCATATTTCTGTACCTATTCCATAAATAGCTAACACTACTTTTAGAAAACATCCTGGCTTGTTGAGTATATCTTCCCTATCCTAGCACAACATATTTTAGCTTTTTCTCTAGCTTATTTTAATTATATCACAAGTAATGAGTTTTATAATATTGATTGAATGATGATTTTCCTTTACAGGGAATTAAACTCAAAGACCACCTTGAAGTTTGTACATACATCTTTTCATGGAGTTGGACATGACTATGTGCAGTTGGCTTTTCAAGTATTTGGTTTTAAGCCTCCAATTCCAGTACCAGAACAAAAAGATCCTGATCCAGACTTTTCTACTGTTAAATGCCCGAATCCTGAAGAAGGAGAATCTGTGCTGGTATTTTTTTTTTGTATTTAAATTATTATTACTGTATTAAACTTTATCGAGTGAGTAGAACTCATTGACAATTCAAAGATTGCCTATAAAGCTAAAACCACTTCAGTTTACATCTTTTAAATTATATTAGAGCCACATGTTCTGCTTTATTTGAAATCTCTATAGTGGATATCCCTACTTCTAGGCTTATTTTAAATTTATCCAAACTATATTCCTTGTAAAATTCATATCACTTAACATAGTGCCTATGTTTAGGAATATGAACATTAAATTTAACATCTTCAATGCAGTTCAGCTTTTTGGGTCACCATTTCAGGAATTATCTTTGAGACTGGCAGAGAAAGAAAGTGCCCGGATAGTACTAGCCACAGATCCTGATGCAGACCGACTGGCAGTGGCAGAACTTCAGGAGAAGTAAGTAGAACCTCTTGATAAAAAGCTTACACTTTGAAAAACAATTTTTGATTTTAAGTCTTACAGGCTCATTGGAAATAATAATTTAAAAAAAAAAGAAAAGAAATCTCTTATAAGTCCACCATCCAGAGATAACCAGCTAGGATGATATTTTGACTTTTCCTTCTTGTGTTTTTTCAATTCAAATAGTTAAGAAATATTTGTTTTTTATATAATTGTGATCATACTATATCTAGTTTTATATCTTGATTATTTTCCACTTGGTATTATTGTACTGGGAGCATTTTTCTCTGTCCTTAAATTTTGTTTAAAATACTAATTTTTGAAATGGCAGAATAACACAACATTGTAAACTGACTATACTCCAACTTAAAAAAAATGGCAGAATATCCCAGCAGATTACTTTATCAATGCAATCATCTCCTAATCTTGATTCTTTGGGTTGCTGTGTATTTTTGCCGTTATAGAGTTGTGACAAATGTCCTTACATAAAGAAGACATCGTATTATAATGTTTTTCTCTTTAAGCAGGAAAATTAAAGTCACAGTGTAATAATTTTTCAAAGGACATTGTTGCCATTCCTACCCTAAGCTCACCCTGGACAGTTAGGAAAGAAGTAATAAATGTTTTCTCAAAAATCCCATGCGGTAGTGTTTGGGTTTTCCTATGTGAAGGATGGTAATTTGTATTGTAGGTCTTGGATCAAAAAGTTTTAATGACAAGTTATAGAGGTCTTGACTTGAATTTTCATTCTCTCTACAGTGGTGATTGGAAAGTTTTCACAGGGAATGAGTTGGCAGCTTTATTTGGGTGGTGGATGTTTGATTGCTGGAAGAAAAATAAATCAAAAAACGCTGATGTGAAGGATGTTTATATGTTAGCCACCACAGTCTCCTCCAAAATTTTGAAGGCAATTGCTCTTAAAGAAGGATTTCATTTTGAAGTAAGAATAGATAATATCTGCGTGCTACTTTTTTAAACCTATGTCTATAAATTGAAGTTGTCGCCCCAGTAAAACT